AGAACGAGCAGCGGCGGTCGGAGGAGCAACCTGAGCTGGTGGGTGGCCGGGGAAGCGGCGAGCGGCGGCGGCGCCGCCGGTGGAGGCTTCACAGACAGCCGCAACTCATGCCCGCATCTCACACCGCTTGCAATGGCGGAGGCAACGGCGCGCACGGGAGGAGGTGAGAGCAGGGCCAGGGCTGGATCCTGGCGTGACTGATGCGCAGGAGGACGGATCCGGGCGCGGCGGACGTGGAGGTGGCCGGAGTAGACAGATCTAGCCGGCGGCGGCCGTGCGCTCACGCGGCGGCGGACGCGGACGCGAGAGCCCCCTTATCCATCCATAAAATCAGTCAAAGGGTGCAAACTTTTCCAGGTCTATATATAGCTGTTTTTAAGGATCACCACTAAATACCATAGCCCGCTATTTAAAACATTAATTAGTATACGTGGAGCTCGTCCCTCGTGACCTGGCCGCCGTTCCCCACTAATCAAATCACCTCATTTCGATCTTTCCCTTACGATTTTAAACCCCTTTTTTACACGAATTTTGGCCGTATCCGGATAATTTACCGAACATCGTAGTACATGGACCGTGAGGAATCATCAAATATGTACTCGCTGTATATATCTCAATCCGATGGTGCGTTCGAAGATCCTTTCCGGCATATTCACCTGCGCTCCGTGCGCGATGGCTATCGGCTCGCGTCGACGACGAGATTTGATCCCCAGGATCATACGCGAGCTAGTGCGTTGGAATGGTAACACTGACTGGACAATTTGCTCTTTCTTAATTATGGAGTGCATATATAGGTCATGGATCTGCCTAAAGCAGTGGCGTTGTAAATGATGTGCTGTACAAACATTGACCTGGCTTGTTGTTTATCGCCCGAATGTTCTACAACACTTCATGGGCCGTGCATCGTGGTTTGTTAATCCAAAGTATGGAGCCGGGTGGTCATCAGTAATCACATGGCACCGCTGTTGTTTTCCTTGCAGTACGTGGAAGGAAGTTAAGGAAGCGATCAACCACTGCTGTGTGTCGTCTCCAGCTTCACTTCACTGATAAGATGTTTTTTTGCAACAACTTTGTGTACAAGACGAGGACAGTCGCTAGAAATTAATCAAGGACGACAAAATCACTCGAAAAATAATTCGCTTAGGACCCATCATTTTCAACTTTAAAGCATCTGCTAGGGACAGCAAGGGTGAGGCCATTTCTGCTTCATGTCGGCTGTTGTTATTTTGCAACAATGCTTTTGAAGTGGAGAATATTCGTGCAATAATGAGGAATGTCGCTAGCCCTTCAATGGTCTAGTCCTCCTGTTTGTAGTGTAGTCGGACTCGATGGGTGCTCCCTCTTCTATGCGGATGCTTCTCTCGACAAATCGCCATATCTGGTCAACGGAATTAAGAACCACATGCTAGAACGGGAGTTTAAACCAATTAAGATAGCCAGGTCTCAAGATATGGTTTCACATTGTCTCGCTAATTGCGCTCGCACGGCTCATACCACTTCATACCACCGCCTGTTGGTTGCAGCGAGGCCCCCCTTTCACCCATGATCTTGTTTTAGCATATTGTAACCATGTTGATATGCAATAAAACTTCCCGATCACCCCCAAACACCACCACGGCAGAGCAGGGCAATCAAATCAAGGTCCTTGCCGAGGCGGTTGCCGTTGTGCACCTACAGTAAAGCATTATCAAATGTAAATTCAAACTTGGTGTTAATCTTCTAACATAAGTATAATTTGTGAGAACTAGGCTGTAGCCTAGTGGCAAGGGAGCGTAGTGGTGTCTCCAGCAACCAGGGTTCGAGCCACGTCGGGGACGAATTTCTGGTTTCTCACAAGGGATGCTTCTCCTATATCAATAAACCATGGGTGCTAGTGCCCATGAGTTTCATCTTTTTCTAAGTATAATTTGTTAAAACTGATTTGTTTTTTATGCCAGTGATTTGATTCACATATTGAAGCAAAGATTATTTTTTCGAGTGGTCTGATTCACAGGTGAAACATGATTAGTTGGCTTCTTAAGTTTCATGTCTTCGGAGCAAAACTTGAGATGATTAAATCTGTTTTCTCTCCACTTTCAACTATTTGTATGATGGATCTAAACTCTTAAGGAGGACGGGGAGTGCTCAATTTTATTTGCTCTTACCAAATACTTTGCTAGACAAAAATCTCCACAACTTATACAGCAAAGTAAACCTCCCATGGTTGAAACCCACTCAAGAAAATTACTATATCACGTGACGACCCCTCCCCCCCAAGGGGGCTATAGATTCTCTGACATACGTCACCTGCCTTTATAATGGCTGATGTGTGGGTCTGGCAACAAGCTGGCCCACAATTCCCATGTCACAGAAGAGAAAATTGCTCTCACGTCTAGTAATTGTCATTCTGGTAGATAAAAGATTACCATGTTAACAAAATATTTGCCATGGAACAATAGAGAAAGTTTTCGCGGGTGTCCAGAAAATGACATGGTACAACGGAAGAAGAAAAATGCCATGCCACACTAGAATATGCCACATATTTTTTGATAACTTCCATGCTACTTGGAGAAGTTGGCATGCTCTAGAGCTTGCAGATAGAGGTATCATTCAATCCAAGGGTGGATGGAGCTAAGGTTCGCGTCCTTCGCTCTAGGAGGCTCAAACGAGCGAATGATACGCCCACATGAATTGCCGCATGTCACCAAGTTGAGATTCGCATGCGGGATCGGACGCACCACAAAGGTTCACTAAAAAAGCCTTCTCAGAGCATGTTCGCTCTATAACATTTCTAAACAACTCGCTTTTTTTCAGACGAGCTAGCAATCAGTTTTGTGTCTTACTCCCTAGCTTTGTCCTAAGTCAAACCACTTTAGCTTGAGCAAGTCTATCAATAAATATATCAACATTGACAACACAAAATTAGTTCCATTAGATTCATTATTAAAAAAGAATGATATTGTAGAACTTACCAAAAGACAAGTTGATTCACACCCTATTTCCGAGAGTAAACACCATCTCATCATGCATATGCATTTGCGGCATAAATATGGAAATGTATTTAGAAATAAGTAGGTCTAATTGTATAAAATTTACATCAGAAAACTCTCCCACCCATTTATTTTTCAAAACTGTTTTGGCCAAATCGTAAGTGGGTTTTTCTTTTAGTGTTAGCTGAAAGTGGTTGTACATGAAACTGTATGGTCATCAGCCACGTAAAATTGGTGAAAAGCAACTCAAGAAGTAGGGTGTCGCCATGGGGACCTCCTAATTGGCGCTTTAGCACCGGTTAGGGGATGTGGCGCTCGTGTGGTTCGCTTGCCACGCACGCCTCAGTGGCCCACTGACAGTTGACAGCGAGGAGTTGAATGCTGATGTGGCATTGACCGTTGACTTTTAAACCACATGAATTATAAGAAAAGAAAAGATTTAAAAAAATTGCAAGAAGGGAAAAGTTTGTAAATTCAAAAATATTCACGGATATTTAAAAAAGTTCACAAACTTCAATAAAATTCACACATTTAAAAAACATATATTTTGAAAAAAGTTCATAAAATTAGAAAAAAGTTCATCAATTTTTAAAAAGTTTAGAAATTTTAAATAAAGTACTCTAATTTCCTTTAAAATAATAAAATTCGAAAAAGGTTAATTGACTTTGAAAAAAATCACAAATTTGACAAAATGCAGCGAATTTGAAAAAAGTTCATGCATAAAACCAGAACAAAAACCCATAAGAAAGTTTAGGCAAAAGAATTTGAAAGAGAAATCATAAAAAAATGGAAAAGGGAAAAAGAAATAAGAAAAGAAAAGAACCAAATAAACCGCCCAAAAACCGGCCTAAAAAGGACAGGAAAAAAAATGTGGGAAGACAAAGACTGCCGTTACAGTGGTAAACTGCCCAGGCCATTTCGGTCGGCGGTGTGCGCCGCGTAGATCGAACGTGCCATGGCCTCGAAAAACTTGCAACTTCGAAAATAATGCATCACATATAAAAATGTCTGTACCATTTAAAAAGTTGTTCCTAACCCTTAAAAATATTCCTACATATAAAGATGTCCATGAAAATGTAAAAATAACCGCCTAAATTTTGAAAAATGTTTATTGCATGTAAAAGGAAATATTCGTATACCAAAATTGGCAGATTACAAAAGTTCATCAATTTGAAGAAGAAACAATGAAGGAAAAGAAGGTAAAAACCAGTAAATAAAAAGAGAGATAAGAAAAAGACCGAACTAAATCTTCCCAAAATTGGTGGAAGGTTTCCGAAGCGAGTACCATGTTTTGAGAACTGCTTGGGTACAAACGCTCTATTGAGATGGCCCACCGCGAGGAATGTCGTAGTCCAGAGCTCCATACATCGTGCATCCTATTCGCCCCTCATTGCGTCGCACTATCGACGCTTCACACAGAGTTGGCGAGAGAGTGATCTAACTGGGTCGCCCCGTTAAGGTGTTCCACCAATCCCGATTTTGGGAACCTTCTAGGTGGTTTCTCACCCAGTCCAGGTGCCTTGTTTCGTTTTCCCCCTATTTTTTAAATTGCCTTTTTTATTTTTAAAAAGTTTAATGTTAAAAAAGTTAGAAATTCAAAAATGTCTGGAATTTCCAAAAAAGTTAGTTTTTTTGATAAATCTCCAAAAGAGTTATTTTTTCTAAAAAATAGTATTTATAAAAAAAATACTTTTTGTTTTGAGACAATCCAAAAAAGTTAGTTTTTTTTTGAGAAAGTTCAAAAAGTTAGTGTTTCTAAAAGCCGAGGCGGCTCTGTCAGGAAACGGGTAGCCCAAGGAGATCGAGGCCTAATCCAATCCGGCCCACTTAACAAAGACCGTTCCGTTTGCTTCTTGGCGCGGCACGCGACCGGGGCAACACGCCGTCTCCTTCCCCACATCGTCGTCAATCCCCAATTCCCAAACCACGCGCTCCGACGACCAAACCCTAACCCCGGATCCCCCGGAAGCACGCCAAATTCCCCAACCCTCCCCTCAGATTCGGCATGCCAGCCGCCCGAAACTCCAGCCCATGACCTCGCCGTACACGATGGCCTCGCGGCCGCCGCATCCCCGCCGGATTCGGCCCATCGCCGCGGCCTCCCTGGTGCTGTTCCTCCTCTTCCTCTACACCCGCCCGGATGGGAACCGTCCGCGGCTCCCGGGCTCCGATTCGCGCCCGCTCCGCCGCGGGCTCCTCTCCGGCGCCGATCCCGCCAGCCCCGCCGCGTCCAGAGGCGGGAACCTCTCGGAGGTCACCGGCCTGAACGGCGAGCAGCTGGAGAACCCCTCCACCGCGTGCGCCGGCATCGCGCGCCACGAGGGTTTCGGGTCCCAGTGCGAGTTCCTCCGGGCGCACCCGCAGTGCAGCTCCGGCGGGTTCGTCGACTACCTGGATTTCTTTTACTGTCGGTGCGAGAGGTTCAGGCTGCTTGGCTATGCCGTCCTTGCCGTGTGCCTGGCGGCGCTGTTCTACATGCTCGGTAACACGGCCGCGGACTACTTCTGCTGCAGCCTCGAGAAGATGTCCGCCCTGCTGCGGCTCCCGCCGACCGTGGCTGGTGTTACCTTGCTCCCCTTTGGTAATGGTGCTCCTGATGTGTTTGCCAGTATTGCAGCGTTTATGGGGTCTGGCGCCGGGGATGTGGGGCTGAACAGCGTGCTGGGCGGAGCGGTGTTTGTTACCTGCGTTGTTGTTGGGGCAGTGTCATTGTCCGTCGCGGAGAAGAATGTGCAGATTGATTGGAGGTGCTTTGTGAGGGATGTTGGATTCTTCCTGATCACCTTGGTGGCACTGTCTATTATGTTGATTGTCGGGAAGGTGACCGTTTGGGGAGCTATGCTGTTTGTATCGATTTATGTGGTTTATGCATTTGTGGTGGCCGCAAATGAGTTATTAAGGAAGCACGCACGGATGCTGAAGTTTGATGTAGTCACACCATTGCTTCCTGTGAGGGGAAGTATCTTCTCACACGGGCTAGAGGAGGATGATTCTGTGTACAGTTCACTTCTTGAGGAGGATACAAGTGATGAGGCGGCCCAGGTAAACACATCATTGCCGCAGTGGATGTGGGCTTCTCATGTGGCTATCTACTCAAATCAGGGGAGAGATGGTTCGCCTGACAGGCCTTTGTGGGGTTGGAATGAAGAAGGCAGAGTGGATACGTCCACGCTTAACTACTCCAAAATGTTTCTGTTTTTGGAGCTACCCTTGACAATACCAAGAAAGTTGACGATTCCAATAGTTGAGGAAGACCGCTGGTCACAAGAATATGCTGTTGCCAGTGCTGGCTTGGCACCTCTACTCTTATCATTTCTGTGGAACAGCCAGGATGGAGTATCCACGGGTGCCAGGGTAGCAGCATATGTGATAGCTGGTATTTTTGGGATTGCACTTGCAGGTCTTGCTTTTACATTCACCAGTCCTGACCGCCCTCCAAGGAGATACTTACTCCCATGGGTGTTTGGAGGGTTTGTGATGAGCATCGTTTGGTTCTACATCATTGCCAATGAGCTGGTTGCACTGTTGGTTGCATTTGGGGTGATACTTGGGATTAATCCTTCAATCCTTGGCTTAACGGTGCTAGCATGGGGCAATTCGATGGGTGACTTGATGTCAAATGTGGCCTTGGCAATGAATGGAGGAGACGGTGTACAGATTGCTATGTCTGGCTGTTATGCAGGGCCTATGTTCAACACACTTGCCGGCTTAGGAATATCAATGCTGCTTGGAGCTTGGTCGACAGCACCCAACTCTTACGTTCTTCCACAGGACCGCTCTCTTATTTACACGATGAGCTTCCTGGTTGCTGGGTTGGTCTGGGCGCTTGTCACGCTGCCACGGAGCGGCATGCGGCCTAACAAGACGCTTGGGGTTGGCCTCATTGCTCTTTACTCAGTTTTCCTTTTCATTAGAGTAAGCAGTGCTATGGGGATATTGCCACTCCCGGGCTTGAATTAGTTGTTTGTGTCTATTGTACATGAATGTTGTTTATACAAATGAAATGAGTTCCTCTGTTCTGTTGTTCTCATGCCTCAAATTTAGTTGTAGGCTGTCAGGTGTTGGAGGCAATAAACCAGAGCTTGCCTGCAACTGGTGTACTTATCTGTAAACTTATCACCTTGCATGCTGATAGCAATAATTTTATACTTCTGATGTTGACTTACCTAAGGTACAAAAATAACACTGTACTCCATTTCTGCGCAGCAGTGTGACCTTTTGGTTTAGTTGCTTTGTAGAGGCGGTGCTTCTGCGTGAGGGCGCGATCTGTTTTGCAGGCTATTTGACAGAAGCATAGTGACCTGTATTCATGTTAGCTTGTTATCTAGTACTCCCTTTCAAAATAATTGTCGTGGTTTTAGTTCAAACTTTAAAATTTAAGTTGTTGTAGAGGCGGTGCTTCTGCGTGAGGGCGCGATCTGTTTTGCAGGCTATTTGACAGAAGCATAGTGACCTGTATTCATGTTAGCTTGTTATCTAGTACTCCCTTCCAAAATAATTGTCGTGGTTTTAGTTCAAACTTTAAAATTTAAGTTGTTGTAGAGGCGGTGCTTCTGCGTGAGGGCGCGATCTGTTTTGCAGGCTATTTGACAGAAGCATAGTGACCTGTATTCATGTTAGCTTGTTATCTAGTACTCCCTTCCAAAATAATTGTCGTGGTTTTAGTTCAAACTTTAAAATTTAAGTTGTTGTAGAGGCGGTGCTTCTGCGTGAGGGCGCGATCTGTTTTGCAGGCTATTTGACAGAAGCATAGTGACCTGTATTCATGTTAGCTTGTTATCTAGTACTCCCTTCCAAAATAATTGTAGTGGTTTTAGTTCAAACTTTAAAATTTAAACTAAAACCATAACACTTATTTTGGATGGGAGGGAGTACTCCATAAGATGGTCCCTCGAGGCTATTTGTCCAGCAAACTGGCACTCTCCCTTGTTTAAAGAGTACCGGCATCAGGTCATGTTAGCTTGTCATGCAGAGGATGTTTTCCCGCTTTGCTGCATGAGAAGGCTTTGCACGATTTTCGCTGTGCGCCTGAAAGCCCTTAGGCCCTGCTTGGATTGAGTGTAAAATGTGTGCTCCACGGTATTTTAACTCAAGTTTGAACTAAATACTGGGCATCACACAAAAACACATCCAATCCAAACAGGGTCTTACTAGTCGTTCATCAGCGTGCAGAATCTGTATTTAATAATATGGTTGCATGCTTCATTTTGATGCATAGGTCGGGGCAATCCTCCTTTACAAAAAAAAAATCTAAATTAACCGGAGGACGGGGCACGCCTCGGCACGACGCTTGGCTCGCTGTAATAGTTGAAATGAATAATATGTTTTTCTCGGGAAGAACACAGCCAACACAAGATTACGTCGTTGCCTGTCATTTCCATCAAGAGAGAAAGGAGTCAGATACAAGCAATGGTAAAACAAGAACATACTCTTGTTATACCACACCATCATTGTCACAAACAAACGCGCGAACAAGGCATACTCCTCCCTAATCTTGGCCACTGCCTGTGTAGCCTTTTTTCATCACAAGTGCTATTCCATCGCAAGCGCGACCACCCTCTAAACAGATATCGATTTTCCTTCAAGAACTGTAGCTTTGCGCTTCAGCCAAAGGTTGCAAAGACCGGCAACCATAATCATCGCCTTCTCCTTGGCACTAACCTATGGAATTCTCCTATCCATCGAGCACCACCATTCTTTGACTTTGGCATCCATGTTAGGAGTCATCCGTCGAAGCCCAAAGCTATATAGGAAAAGAAACCAAAACTGCCACGCAAACGAACACCACGCCAAAATATGATCAAACGCGTCGAGCGCCTGGTCACAGCATGTGCAGCAAGGACGATGCTGCATACCACGGTTTTAGAGGCGGTCCGTCATCCAACAACAATTCCTCATAACCAGCCAAGTGAATGACCTTTGGTTGGGAGGAGCCTCGTTTTCCACAGGAGGTTGGTGTACTCCGCAAGCTCAGTGTCGTGAAAATAGGCCTCATAGGCCAAACTGGCCGAATAAGCTCAATCCGCCATGAGTCTCCATGAGAAACAATCCTCCTCATTGTTCAGTGATGGCGCTTGCTATATTTATCACCAAAGATCCATGAACTCGATGGTCGCCTCTATCAATAGCATTCCACGAATGTCATCAAATCTACTTATTATCCACCAAAGCTTCTGCCACAGTTCTCCTCTTCCCTCCTCTAGTCTCGATAAATGGGTACAATTTGGGAGCAATATTGAACGGACTCCGTCCCTCGATCCACTTGCCGTGCCAGAAGTCACTCGCCCGCCCTTCCTATCGAACACTTCGACGCAACGAGGAATAATTGTGTGACCTCTCTAGATACCACTAGAGAAAGGCCATATCACGCCCTTAGTAGACCCGTCCTCTGAAGCCATAACCACTGCATTTATAAAGTGTTGTTAAGAAAATCCAAGTGATAAGCACGGAGCCCGCCAAACCGCGGAGGCTTGCAAATTTGCTCCTATGCCACCAAAAAGTGCCACCCTTCGCCTCGTCGGAAACTCTCTAGAAAAAAATCCGAGAAATCTTTGTGATGGCCTTGAAAACCCATGAAGGGAGATTGAGAGAGAACATGTGATAAATACTAATAGTCGTAAGCATCACCTTGATCAAAGTCAGCCTGCCAGTCGTAAGCAGCATCGAGGTCTTCCAAGTCGCCCATCTATCTGCCACATGATCAACAAGAGGTTGCAGATCCGCTTTAGTGAAGGCCACCGGTTAGAAGGAGCCCAGATAAGTGCACAAAAACTGGGCCACCCAACATAGAAGAGATGGCACGAGTAGCTCCAAATCGACACCCTTGCATCTCATGGCGAGATCACACATTTTTGAAGATTAGCTATAAGCCCAGAAGCATCACCAAACAACGCCAGAATCTCCTTCATCACGAATAGCTCACACTTCTTTGGGTTTGAGAAAAATGGGACATATCCGTGTAAAGCGATAGCATGCGGCACCACTCCCCATCTATCAAGGGGTTCTAACAACCCAGCCACCTCCGTCTTATCCACCATAGCATCAAGGACATCCATGATCAGGAGGAATAACAGGGGATAGGAGTCTCCCTACCTCAACCCCCGCGCGTGCCAAATACATTCACCAGACTGTCATTGATCAGCGCTTTATAACTTGCCGAGGTGAGGCGCAAAGATACCCACAAGCACCAGTTCTGGCTAAATCCCCTCTTCTTTATGACTTGTAGCAAAAAAAGGCAACACAACTGAATCAAAGTGTGCAGTATCCGATTTGAGAAAGATGAGGGGACCTTGAGATTATGGAATTTTTTTATAGATTGGTTGACAAGCATATAGTTATCATGAATCGACCGCCCTCGGATAAAGGCACTTTGGTTCACCGTAATAAGCATATTCAACATGGGACCAACCCGCAGTGTGAGGTCTTTGGAAAAAAATCTCCGCAAGGCCATGAATCATGCTAATGGGACAGATATCCCTAATGTCGGAAGCACCATCCTTCTTTGGTAACAATGTTAATAGTGGTTGATTGAACATATAAAAGCTTTGACTATCCACTGTTGTGGTATGATTAATTATCGATGTAACCTTGGTCTTTAAATATCCAACGCAGTCGGAGGGGCGAAGGCGTGAATGCGAGCAACCAAAGTTGGCTTCTTGATTACCACACCAGCGTGAATGCAGGTAGGTGGACGAACGGCCAATCTGTTGTGAATGTGTGGTGGGTTCTAGAACTGAAGGCGGGATAAGGTTTCTAGGATGGGTCAGGGATATCGGAGTCTAGAGTAGCGGATGTCCGGACTCCACGAGAGTGCTCTTGGTTTTGGGCCCCACTTGTGGAATTTCATATGTTCAGAATGATCCGGCCCAATTTGGTAATCCGTGTTGGAGACATAAAAGTGTTTGTGCGGCCCAATCCGGTCATTTTGCAGGCAATTGGGTGATCCGCATTGGAGATACCCTAATTGGTACAAATGACTATGATCCTTGCTTTTGGAGAAAGATGTAAAAATTTAGAGCCATGTTTTCAGTTTGAAGCGAGTACTTCTTTACATAGAGGAAGGAGGACGAGGAGGCGGAATTACTAATTGAGGGGCACCCCTTGCAGAAGTTACCTCCATTTCTTCTGGTGGTGACAAGTGGCATACCTAATGTGTGTCACTTGTCACAAGCTGGGAGTTTGGATAAAATTTTCTTCCCACGGGCCAGAGGGGTAGGTGGGTTTGTTTGTAATTTTTGATTCGATAAAAAGTATATCTCTTAAATCGTGAGTCCAAATTATGAACCGTTTTCATCATTGCATTCCTTGCGTCAAGATCTTAAAAATTAGATCTCGTGTTGATAGGTTTTAACGAATTTGTTTTGGGCAAAATATGTGCTGCCAACCACACTATCATGTGCTTCCAACGTGAACTAACCCAATTGTTCCACCTAGTACTAAGTCGTGCTTCCTAACTTTTGCTTTCAACTAGTAGTAACATTTGTGCTCTTCACTACACTAACATGTGCTCGAACTAACCCGTGCTTCTACATGGAATTAACTTGTTCTACCCAACTTGTCCAACTAGTACTAATATGTGTGCTCTCAATTACACTAACCCCTGCTCCCGAACTAATCTGTGCTCCCACCTAGCGCTAACTTGTGCTTTCCAAAATGTGCTTTCAACTAGCACCCGTATGTGTGCTTCCAACGTGTGCTCCCAATCAACATTAACTTGTGCTCCCAATGTGTACTAATATGTGCCTAAATAAATTAATTTGTGTTTTTAGGGGTGAATGTCCTCCTGCGTAAAGCATCCCGTGCTTCACCAAAAGAAAACAAAAAAGCCAAAAAAAATCAAGAAAACCAAGAAGAAAAAACGTTCTATGGGAGTGATTTTTTTTTGCAGGTGAAATAATGTATTACTCAATCACGAGGTCCATACAATCAATCACTGCAAACTCCAATGCCTCTGAAGGCCC